AGCCAATAAGCAAATGGAAAGATGTTAAACTTCTTTAGTCAACAGAGAACAGTAAATGCCACACAGATATCACTTCACACTTTCTAAGATGGCTATAATGAAAAGGGCGGTAACATCCTTGGAGAGGATTAATAAGATTGGTGAGAATATAGAGAAAATGGAAATCTCATACATCCCTGGTGGGGATACAAAATGATGTAGAAAACTTGAAAAATGGTTTGGCAGATCCTTGGAACATTAAACATAGTTGTCATATGACCTAGCAATTCCTTTCCTAGATATATACTCACGGGAAACAAAAACATATGTCCACACAAAACTTGTAATGATATTCCTATCAGCATTATTCATAATAGCCAAGAAGAACTGGGCTCAGTGCTGCCGCCACCTGCCCCACAAGCGCAAGGACCCAAGTTCGATCTCTGGTACCAAAAAACCTAAAAAAACCAAAAAACCCAAAAAACCAAATTTTTAGGGCCAGGGATTTAGCTCAGTGGTTCCGCTGCCTGCCTCGCAAGTGCAAGGACCCGAGTTTGATCCCCGGTACAAAAACAAACAAACAAACAAAAAAACATAAATATATATAATAGCCAAGAAGTGGACACAACTCAAATGCTCATCAACTGATGAGTAGGTATGTAGTATGTGCACACAACAGAGTATTATTTGGCAATAAAATGGAATGATTTATTGATATATGCTAAAACATTAACCTAAGTGAAAGAAGTCAGACATAAAAAGCCACAAACTGTGTGATTTTATTTACATAAAAGATGCAGGACAGACATATCCATAATGACCGAAAGTAGATTAGTGATTGCCAGGTGCTGGGCACAGGTAGAATGGGGAGTGACTGTTAATAGATATAGGGTTTCTTTATGGGGTAACGAAAGTGTGCTGGAATTACAAAGTGGTGATGATGGTACAATATTGTGAATTTTAAAAAACCCACTGACCTGTATACTTTAAAAGAGTGGATTTTGTGGCATGTGAATTTCACAATGTAACAACTTTCTCAGGTGTAAAAGTAGAGAAATGTAGTAACATAAATGCAATTATGACAATGAGCTAATACATTTCAAATATATTAAAGATAATAAAAAGTTTATTAACACTGTTATTGACAGTTTGGGGTAAAATGCATTAATATATTTTTATTAAAGTATAAATTGGTAACAAGTAAATCTAAACACACTTTCTAAGCAGTTGTATTTATATGAATGTATTCTAATTATGTACTTGTATATACAAACACAAATATCCACAAAATTATCAACAGGGCAATGATTTTAAATGGTAATAGTCTGTAAACAAAATTCAGATAGACTTGCATATATAATGTTCATAGAAGGGTATTTATGAAACTACTACCACTTTTGCCTTAGATGAAGGGATGAAAGACTAGGAGCAGGGGTGGAAGAAAAGTTCTCACTTGGAAATTCTTTTGTATGTTCTGAATTCTGTAAGATGGGTATGCAGCCTTTTCAATTAATAGTTACTTGATTTTGGGAAGTGTGATGACTGCAGCCAGAAAAAAAAAAAGAAGTGTCCTGAGGCAGCAACTGAAATCAATCTACCTTTCTTCCCTTAGTCATACAGCCTTATGATTCTAGATCCTTTCCTACTATCTACTTGTAACTGTGAACTATTCTTTGGGGTCCTTCTAATAAATCTCTAGTCATAGGGGTAGTCTTGGAGACTCCCAACATATCTTGCTTAGCAGGAAAAATATTTGTTCAGTAATATGTCACACAAACTTGAAATCATACAACTTTTACTTTTGCTTGGTATAATAATTTTGGATTTGATTTGTTGACAATTTTCCTGAAATGCCCATGCATTTATTTCCTTTATGATACTATAATTTGGTTAGTTTTCATCTAATACTCTTTTAGCTAAGTGTAAAAACATTCAATCACTGACTTTGCCCCTCAATAAAATATATTTCAACAAAGAAAACAAGGAGAGAAAGAAAATGCTAACAAAAGTACAAAGAAAATTCTGTTTGACTAAATATGCTGTTTAAGTGTGGAAGATAACAGTGAAAGAAAAGAAGAATCTGGAAAAGGCATGGAAAACCCTTTTTAGTTTGGTGTTTAGTTTTTTTATTATTCCAAGTTTTTCCATAATCCCCAGATATATGATACATCTATACTCATATAAATACAAACAGAATATAAAGCCAAAAAAAAAGTTTTAAAAAGTATAGTCTGAAAATTAACTATAGTTCAAAATTTGGAAAAAGGATTTTCATAGTCTTTAAAATGATTTGCTAAAAACAACAACCACCATCCTCCAATACCCAGAAGCACAGACAGGAATTATTTCTACTTTAAAGTAGGGACACTATTTCTTTATTTCCAGAGATATTTTCCTGTAAGTGAAAAATGTCATATAACTCCTACTCTTCTGGTTATTCATCTTTAAAGCAAAGAGAACTTTTTTAAAAAGTAAGTTTAATCAATCTAAAAATACAAAGTTATAACTAGATTTTAACATGAACACACATACACACTTGTTTACTAAAAATCCAGTTATTAAATTAGACTTTTATTTTATTTTTTAAAATTTTATTTTATGGGTACATTTTAGGTATACAATATAATGACATTCATCATTGGAAATTTGCACCTTTACATAGTCTCTCTTGGTTCTTATTTTTCACTGGAGATTGAACCCAGGACCTTGTACATGCTGGGCAAGTGCTCTGCCACAGAACTATAATTCTTATTTTTTAAAATTTTATTTTATGGGTACATTTTAGGTATACAATATAATGACATTCATCATTGGAAATCTGCACCCTTACATACCCTCTTGGTTCTTATTTTTTCCCTACTCCCCTGCCCTCCCTGTCCTCCCTTCAACCCCTCTACCCCTCCCCATTTACAAAGACTTTGTTTCCTCTTTTTCACTTTCTCATATTAATTCCATTCCCTTCTTTCCCTTCCCCTTCCCCTACCCTTCCCACTTGCCCTTCCCCTTTGCTCCTTTTCTTCCTATTTTACATTATCTATTATACCTTTTAGTCCTTATTTACACTTTCAGTTTCTCATACTAGACTATTCGGTATTTACACGTGTCCTATTTATTTCACTTAAGAGTATCACCTCAATGTGCATCCCTTTAGCAACAAATGTCTCTAACTTCTCATTTTTTTCATGGCTGAGTAGTACTCCATTTTAATTTTAAAAACCACAGTTTCTTTATGCAGGCTCCAGTTGATGGGCAATTGGGCTGTTTCCAAGTTTTAGCTATTACAAACTGTGCTGCTATGAACACGGGTGCACATATATCACTGTGGTATGATTCTTTTAATTCTTTGGGGAAAATAACCAGAAGGGGAATAGCTAGG